CCGTAATTTTGGTTTCTTTAAAACTTTGGGCCTAAAGGGACCGAAACCAGTGGTCATATTCGGTAATCTATTAGATTATTTATTTGTGTCAAAGCCTGACCTCGAAGTGCAGCGAATGAAACAATTTGGCAAACTTTACGGGTAATTATGTAACATTTAATTAAAAATTCTCTCTCTCTCTCTCTCTCTCTCTCTCTCTCTCTCTCAGATTGATAATAATTATTTAGATTAATTAAGTTTTGTTAAAGCTTATATTTTTAAATTAAAATAGCATTAGTATTTTTCATAAATTTAACATTTACTATTATGCTTCAAAATATTAATGTTATGCTTTATATTATTTTCAAATATAATGTTAGTGATACTGTGTAATATATGTAATCGATGTAAATTGATCACAAATGACTTAGAATATTCGAAGGTGGCAAACCGTTTATACAGGTGTCGGAACCCGAGATCATCAAACAGATCCTGGTGAAAGACTTTCGCTTGTTTAACACCAAACCGCGCATCATTCAAGAGGGCAACCGTGTCATCGACCAAATGCTGCTCACGTCAAAGGGCGACACCTGGCGGAGGGCGCGCACCGCTGTGAGCCCGGCGTTTACCATTGGGCGCATGCGCAAACAGTACCCGCACGTGCGCCACTGCGTGCGCGAACACCTGTTGCCCGTATTGTACACTCACGCCGACTCACGCACGCCGTGTGACCTGAAACTGGTGTACAGTTATTTCGCGCTGTCGGCGATAAACCGATGCGCGTTCGGCGTCCCGACCGACCCCTACCGCGACCTCCAACACCCGCTGGTGGCCAACGCGTGGCCAGTGTTTCGCCTCCCGGTGTGGAAGATGTACGCCTTGCAAGTGCTGCCGACGGCATTGTTGCGCACATTTAATATCGACTCGTTTTTTAACGAGACGTGTATCAAGAATATCGATCGCACTATACGTCAGATTATACGCGCGAAAGCGAGTGCCGGCGATAACGGCGACGATTTTATTAGCGCTGTTATGCACTCGAAGCCCGATGTTTATGATGATCAAGGTACTGTATATTCGTACGCCTATTCATTGAATTATCAACATTATTTAATATTGCAAATTTATTTATATAAATATTAAATAATTATTATTTGACTTAAAATGTGCACAATTAAATAATGTTGATATAAAATGTAAATTATTTAAAACATATATTTCGCGCGCAGATGTGGACAGTCTAGTGATGGCGACCAAGACTGACGACCACAACGCGGTGAGAGAGCCGCTGACCGAAGACGAAGTGGTGGCCCAGGGGTTCAACATGTATACGGCTGGGTTCGACCAAATGGCGAATCTCATGGCGTTTGTGTCGTACGAATTGGCGCTCAAACCGGAAGCTCAGGAACGGCTGTACGCGGAGATCGTGGCCGCCGGCGCCCAATCAGACGGCGAGATTGGTTACGACGAGTTGCGCCGATTGCCATACATGGATGCCGTGGTAAACGAGACGCTCCGACTGCACGCCACGCCCGTCAAACTGCGGCGCACACCGGGTATGGATTTCCCGTTGACGGGCACCGGGATTGTGATCCGTAAAGGCCAGCCCCTGGAAATCCCGATCTACGCTAACCATCACTCGGACGAGTACTTTCCCGACGCCGAGAGTTTCATTCCCGACCGCTTTTTGCCGGAAAATCGTGACAATATAAAGCCCTACACTTTCCTGCCGTTCAGCGCCGGTCCCCGGGTTTGTGTGGGACAGCCGTTCGTGTTGTTGGAGACTAAGCTGGCGTTGTTTCACGCGTTGCGTCGCTTCCGGTTCGCCGTCCATAAGGACACAAAAGTGCCGCCAATTGTCAAAACGCATCCAATGATCAAAGGACTCGTATCGCTGTATCTCTCGGTTGTGGCCCGAGATTAATATAAATGACATTTAACAAGTTTGTTTTT